ACGACGTACAGTGTACGTCGCCAGCATCGGGGCTGTTTAAACAGACTCCCGGCGAGTTTTGCTGCCGGGACTCTGTTTAAACTTGTAGAGCCGACTTTACAACAGAAGCGATTCTGGTGACTTACCTGTCGCCAGATCGCTTCTGCGTCCCGAAGAAGGGGCCGCCGGACACTGCCGCCATGCTTCCCGGGCTCCGTTGCCCCTCCTATGGGCGCGGGACCGGCATCCTTGGTGTCCGCGGGGAGCTGGGGAGGAGATCAGGGAACTTCCGTTCATCGATCCCCTCCCCGTTCTATGGGACCGGGAGCGATGCAGATTGCATCACTTCCGGTCCCTGGGCTGTCAGTTCTGGGCTCCTGCAGCCCAGCTATAAGCTATTGAAGTGCGATCTGCACTTCAATAGCTTATTTCCAGTGTAAAGGTGACACTGGGTGTCTTTTGGACCCCCAGCATCACCTTAAAGAGTACCTGTCACCACCATCTGCTATCACATGGGGGGGCTTGTAAGCCCCCCCATGTGATGGCAGTCAAAGTAAAGTTAAAAAAAACAACAGTTTTTAAAATTAAAATCAAATAAATCTAATAATAATAAAAAAAATGTAAAAGTCCCTCGCGAGCACGCGCGTCACCACGTAAACACGCGTTGGTGTGCGCCTACGTATGAAAACGACGAACGCGCTACACATGTTGGGTATCGCCGCGCACGCCGGAGTGAGAGCAATAATTCTAGGGACAGTATTTTGGGGTATCTCTAAATTGATGACCTGTGGGGGCTTTTAAAGCGTCTTCTGTGGACTTTTTGGGGTACTGCAGTTTTTCGCCGTTTCACGGACGCACGCAATTTGTAACCCGGGCATGTTGGGTATCGTTTTACTCGTTGTAACCTCATCTTTTATATTTCATTAAAAATGGGTATTTTGTTGTGTTTTGGGGCATTTAATTAAATTTTTCACTAAATATTGGGGTTTAATAAGGAGTTGCGCTAATATTGCGCAACATAAAAATTTGCAACTACCACCATTATATTCTATAGGGTCTTGGCATTCAGAAAATATATAATGTGTGGGGGGTTTAAAGTAATTTTCAGGCCTAAAATGTGGAATATAACATGGGTGCAAAAAATTAAAAAAAGGCCTCAGTCATGAAGGGGTTAAATACCACCAAAAGAAAGCTCGATCTGTCCCCAAAAAATGGTAAATTAATTTCAGTACAGCGTTGTATGACGGAATAAATTATCAGTCAAAGTACCGCAGCGCTGAACACTGAAAAGTGGCCGGGACAGGAAGAGGGGGTAACACCCCGGTCAGCAAGAGGTTAAAGGCACAAGGACTGGTTCCTAAGAGCAGCCACATATAAATACTTATTGGTCCTTTTTGCAAGCTGGAAGTTTGTATATTGGGAGTTGTTGGCTGAAATATTTTGGGCATTGTGGCCGTTCCATTGCACTCAGCATTCACAGATATTAAAGGAGAACTATGGGGTTAGGGCTTTTCCCCATAGTTCTCCTTAGGGTAACGGGAGGACACAAACTAGCGTCCTCCCGTCACCTAAAGCTCAGTATACAGCTTGCGGTATACTGAGACGCTGAAGCGGATCCCGACAATTGTGCCTGGATCCGCCCAGCTGCGTGACTGACAGCTGGCTCCGCCTATCTAGAGGCAGAGCCAGCTGTACCCGCCCCGTCCGTTCCGCCAGCCAGTGCTGGCGGATTGGAGAGGGGAATCCAGTCCCTCCCCTGTCACGGCAGAGAGCCGTGACAGGATCGAGAGGTGAGCGAACGCCGGTATGTGTTCGCTCACCTCCCGATCTACTGAGCCGACCTGTGACAGTCTCATTGTCACAGGTCAGCTAGAACTATGAGGTGAGTGAAAAGCACACCCCCCCCTCATAGTTCTCCTTTAAAATCTGCTGTGCATTATATTTTGAATCTCCTATCTTTTTGTTTTATACCATTTTTTTACCTTCACCCATTGCTGAAATGAGATGGTGTAAAGCATGCGTCTATCTCACTGAGGTGTCATTATCTTCACTCGCATGTCATTCAATTAGAGTTTTACTGCGAGAAGTCGGGAGCATTGGTCTGCAGGAACCTGCGTGTGAGCCGTGCACGCTCTTCTTTTATAACTACGCTATTCGTGCGTTCTCTGACTTTTAGATTTTTGGGGGGTACCTTCCAGGCCGCCTTTTATTGAGAGCTTCAGGAGCGTTGTGCTGGACCCTTCCTGGATTCATAGTAAACTTCCTCATTCCATCCCTGATGATAATATCTGAAAGTCAGGCCATCTTTTTTTTTTTTTTTTTTAGTTTTGATGCACCGCAGTAAAAGCATGGAAAAAAGATCTAACCCTCATGTACTCTATGCGTAAAGGAGAACTATGGGGTTAAGGCTTTTCCCCATAGTTCTCCTTAGGGTAACGGGAGGACACAAACTAGCGTCCTCCCCTCACCCTAGGCTCAGACTGAGACGCCGCAGTATACAGCGAGCTGCTGTTCGCGGTATACTGAGACGAAAAAATGTAAAACGGTTGGGTGAAAAATTTTGCTGGTCTGTTTCCTTTTTATTATAGGCGGTCGGTATTGATTGATCACAGATATGATAAATGATTTGCATCGTACCTATGCACCGTGCATTGAAATGCTCATCATGTTTTCTGTCTCCTTGCAGCTGAGAGATCGGAGTATCGCAGGATCGCTCCTCCTGACACAGCACCTATTCCCCTGTTTCTGGTTCAGGTAAGGTCAGCTGGTTATTTTGGGATCACGCACTCAGATTGGTTAAACCTGATGCAGCTTGAGAACGTGTTAAAGTTGACCTTTAACCCCTTTCACTATAAATAACATTAGAATGCAGCTCTCAAATCCTCTCGCATTCTTTAGTTAAATTAAACATATTTTTCTTTTACTTACAAATGTTTTTCCACTTCCTGGTCTTCTTGGGCGTTAGTGATGTAATGTTCCCAAGCATTGCATCCTGGGAAGGTTACATCAGCAGAGCATTGCTGGGAAATCTCATCTGTAATCTCACAAGATTTAAGGGAAAGGCATTTTCCTCCCCTGAGATGATGTGTGTGACGGACCCCCGTACTCAGGATGAGTATGTCCGCCTCTGTATCCTTCTTGCTGAGGAGATATTGCAAACTGCTGATCTATAGCTCCCAGTTTCCCCAGTCACTAGTCGAGGCTCGAGTGTAGGGTGAAACAAACTCTGATTTATTGAGCAACTGCACAAACTTATATACATCAAGTGATGAGATCAGATTATAATCCCATCACATCCACCTTCCCCTCCCCAGAAATCCTGTCTTCACAACACCACAGGGGTCCACCTGCTAAATAGCTCCAGACAGCCATAGCAGTAGCCTGGCCAGAATGTCATTGTTCTGAGCTCCCTCAGAGAACAATGGGAGATAACGAGGGATGGTGCTGATAGTCTTTTCATAACCAGGTCAGACAGCATAACGCACTCAAACATAACTCAACACCAATACACATTTACCTTATAAACTCATCACCATGTCGTCACAATGCGCATGGTCACATGTCCTAGTCGCATGTGCCAGAGTTCCAGGAAGTAAAGGGAGATCTATTAATCGGCCCTTAGTAAACATGGCCACTGTAAGAATGGGGAGGAAAAGAAAAATAAGGTATAGAAAGAATACAAAGCCGGCAATTATCTAGACGTATGTGTTTGTAGATTGTCATCATTAAACATTTCTGAAGTTCTCTTTGTTCATAGATTTGGGTAAAGTTCCTCTTTAATATTCCAACTGCTGCTTATTTTTACTCAGGGAACACTTACAGGTTAAGGGTACCTTGTTAGGAGATGGGGGTCCCCCAATGTTTTCATTACTACTTTTCATTGTGAATCGTGTTTTTAAAGTGGACCTGGAACTATAAAAGTGAAGATTTGCTGTTTGTAGGGACCATTTAGTATTGTGAATTGTGCCTAAGCAGTACCCTGAGAAATTAACCCCTGTTGCTCTCCCCATCTGTATGCAGCGGGGATCCGAGAAGAAGTGAAGGAACCGGCGGCGGGGGAGGACGGAGCCACTGTCGGAGAACTAATGCCGAGCGGTGAGGAGAGAGAGAGAGAGCGAGACGCTCGGTCTGGATCTGACAGCCGACTCCACTCAGCGCTCGGCCTTAGTTCTGTGACAGCGGCTCCGCCCTCCCCGCAGCTGAAGTGCTTCGTGTCGGATCCCCCGCTGCCTCTGCCCGTGGCCGAGCGGCAGAGGATCGGTACATATCCGTGATATGTATCAATCCCCTGTGCAGGACAAACACTGGAGCGATCACCTCTGTACTTTCCATTCATTTAGAATAGAGGCTGCAGAAAAAGAGATGGAGGACTCTGTGTCTCGGAGGACTTTGTGTCCTCAATTTCTTTTTCTATTTTAAAAGGGAAGTATCAGGGGGCTGTTTAGACCCCCTAATATTTCCCCAAAGCCCCCCCCCAGTAAAAAAAAAAGCTGTTACAGGAGTTCTGGCACAGTGTTGTGCTAGAACTCCTCTATTGGGTGTGACAGGGTCAATAAAGAGAACCTGTCACCTCCATATGCTATCACACAGGGGAACAAGGCATCATGGGCGCCCCTGATCCAAGGCATCATCTGGTACCTGGCTCACCAGATTTGGTGACGTCAGTGCTGTGCTGTTTACTGTTCTCCTTGCTGGAGGATCTGACATGAGGATGCAAAGCCTCTGCCTCTACCAAGATGGCTGCCAGCACAACAGTGCAGAACACGGCACTGCAGGTCCATAATAGGAGGAAAGATCACCTGCAAGGAGACCACAGTAATTGTTGTTTACTAGTCCTTTTTGTTGGTTTTTTTTTACCCTTTTACCCCAGATGTTAGTTAAAGAATCCATCACAGAAACCTAATCATGAAGCCTCAGAGATAAGTTGTCACTCTCTGATTTTTGGTGCGCACATTACTGCTGGGGGAGTAAGTTTGCTCACAGTGAACCTGAATATGCCATTCCGTTGCATTTGGTGCAGAGGTTGACACTTTTTTTTCATCCTTTTTGATACAGCTCAGTGCTGCTGATCTCCTGCAGCCTCTTCCCGTCTGTATGCACTCCAGCAATGGTTGCATGGCATTTCTCGGGGTGGGTTTTAGGGATGGTGACAGTAGTGGCCCATGCCTACCTAATGTGTGTTGATATGGCCATTTGTAGTGTTCATCGGAAGCCTGTGTAACGGGGTGATTAATGCAGGGACAGAGCGTTGTCAGCCTATAACAGGAAGGACCAGAACAAGGACTTTATGGCAGGATCACTAGGGAATATTTACATTCAGCAGGACAAGTCATGCCTGGACAAGGCAGGAACAGGGGGCCCTACTCAATATTAGGGAGGGGGGGGGGGGGGCATCTAGATACAACATCATAG